TGAAATTAATTTTGGTGCTGAGGATGTGGAGAGGCTGATGGATGCAAAGTTATTCTGAGAAAGAGTTTGACATCATTCAATAAAGATTTATTTCAGTAAGCTGGTGGGAGTATCAAAGTGAATAAATACTGATTCCTGCCCTTGACAATAAAGGCTACTATCCGTTAGTTGAGGAATTGTGTGAATATTTTCTTTAATTATCTCAGCAACTCTGTCAGTTTGGTTATTTTCCCCCCCTCATTTTATAGATGAGGAAGCCGTCTTGGAGAGATTAAGAAATCTGTCTACGATCCTGAGTTGCAGAGAATAGAACTAAGCTTAAGTCTAAATTTGTCTTCTTTCTTAATCTGGGTTCTCCAGAGGAGCTAAACCAGTGAAGCATATATAAATATGTGCATAGAGAAATTTGCGTCAAGGGAACGGCTCACTCAATTGTGGGGTTGGCAAATCCCAAAAAGGTGGGTCAGACAATAGGCTGAAGACCTGCTGGGTCATGTGGTTGCAGGAGCTGAACTCCTGAAAATAGGCAGGTCAGCCTCTGCCTGCCTTCCAAGGTTGTGAGGAGTTGGCAAATCCAAAATCTTCAGGTCAGGTGGCAGATTAGAGACTTCTTCAGGCCTCGATATTGAGGTCCAGGGCCAGAGCTGCTGAGTGATGCTTAAGGTGACCAGGAGAATGAAGAGTGGAGAAAAAGAACAGCTTTTTCAGAACATCTGTTTGCATACTGAACACAGGCTACATCCTCAAGGAAACTCCCTGTTCAATGGATTGACTCCTCATACCATACACATCATGTGCATCAAACCACTGAGAAGTATAGCCTGGCCAGATGGGCACATAACCTGAGCAGCCACACCTTCCTATAAAAGTGGTTTTTATCACCACTAGATGATGCCATTTCTCTGTTAAAAGAGCCTATAATCCAAAAAGTATGATAGAAATGTAAATAGGTATAACAACAATAATAAATTAAATTGCCAATGTCTGACCTGAACAAATGTCAATTTCATGTGGTTCAACCTAATAATAATACTAACAATCATCGTTATTATTTCTACAAGGAACAAAAAGAGCACTGAGGAAGGATATATGACTAGCTCTGGAGTTAACCGCAATCTCTTCATGGGCAAATAGCATTTTCAAATTCACAGAGGTACGAAGGCACGCAGCAAGTCTAGCAAATTCAGTGTGGTCAGAATTTAGGATATGTGTAGCAGAGCAGTGGAAGATGAGGCTGGAAAGATTGTTAAGGGCAGGGTCAAGGGCATAGCCAAAAGGATGTAAGGAAATTGTAATCAGAGTAAGGAGTTTGCAAGTTTTAGCTATTGGAGGTAAAATAGCTCTGAGTGATGACAATTCAAGTGCAGCGGAGTTCAATGACATTGTAGTTAAGAAACTTACGGAGCCGCTGGATGAAAATAGTGAAAGACCATTGAAATCCATAAGATGTTGGTTGAGAACATTTGGTTAGGCATGCAATTTTCTAAGAAGGACTGGAAAGTTAAAAGGATGGTATGGGTGTCTTTTTCACTGAATTTGAGTCATGTAGGCCTTTGAGTTTGTCATACCTTCAATAAAAACTCTTTCAAAACATGCCGATCTTTAAGATTTATATGTTTCTAAGTAGTAGCCAGTTGGTTATTCTGTAACTAGAAACATCTGCCTTAAAATATCAAAGTGCCGTAGAGTGCATGGTAGAAGAGCATATTTTCAATATATATATATAGGGAATTATATCTTTTCCTGAATTTGTTGTTTTTGTTTTTGGGGACTGTTGAGCTAATTGCAACTCATGCTAATACCATGTGACTTAGCTTTCTCCCACAGAGCTGCCGAGGGACACTGAACACTAACCTTTTGGTTAGCAGTTGAATGCTTAATCCTTTGCACCACCAGTGTGAAATGCTCCTTTTTTTCCTTAGTCAAAGAATGGTTAATTCAGCAGTATACATTTTATTCCTTTACCTCAACATTTGGGGGGAAAATGAGGGCCAGGATGAAAGGTGACCAGAGTTAAAACAGGGGAGTTAAGCAGAATGCACTGACCTTTCATTTTCGACAGATCGGATCCGTACAGGGAAGTACCGCTCACTCTTCCACCCAGAGCAGCTCGTTAGTGGAAAGGAGGATGCTGCAAACAACTATGCCCGAGGCCACCACTCCATGGGGCCAGAGATCATCGACATTGTGTTAGAGAAGATCCGGAAGCTGGTAAGTAGCTTTCTTCCCTGTAGATGGGGTCATGCCTGGGAGCTTCTGCTTCATACCAGGACTCCTCCCAAGGATCACCAGCATGACTTACCACCAAAAGGGGTCCTGGTGATGCAATAGTTAGGCTGGCAGTTGGAGCCCATCCAGCATTTCCACAGGAAAAAGATATGGGGAATTGCTTCCATAAAGATTACAGCCTGGAAAACCCTACGGAGCAGTTCTACTCTGTCACATGAGGTAACTATGAGCAGAATTGACTCGAGGACACCTAGTAACAGCAACGACCCACCACCACATCAGTCCCACCCACTCTGTCACCTTGGACTATCTCAGTGATACCCATGGATGATACCCCCAGGGCCCTAAACTCAGCTTTGTTTACACTTCGTTGTGCAGGAAAGGATAAGGAGCCTTTACACTTGCTGTGTAGCCTCCCTACCACCCCACTGGCCCCCGCCAACCTTCCCCACCCCCAATCTCCTAATGTAGAGTTTATCAGGTGTCCAGGGATGTCCAAGCACTTCAAAATGTGTCATTTTCAAATAGCAACCCTCATTTGTAAAGTCACAGGAGGCACACCCTACCTGGAGATGAGTCCTTTCACTTAAAATCAAAGCCCAGAGTTGCTGTTGAATCATTTCCAACCCAGTGTGACCTCACGTGTGCCAGAGTACATAGTGCTCCATTAAGTGCTGTGATCTTTAAGAAGTAGATCATCCGGTCTCTCTCCAAACTCATTCTTCTTTGAAGACCATAATCAATGGACTCCTATGCCTAGGAAGAATTTTGATGTTTGACATGACCATTAGGTAACACAGTACCTTTGACATAGCACAGAAGATTGGGCATAGAAATGAGAAGTATCTAATGAAGGAAAAAATTATTTTGCTAGTCACATGGTGGACTTTGTTCTGGATACAAGGTTTTGCTTTAGAGCATATACAGATACATTCATGGAAGGCAGTGAAAGGCAGTTGGGTGTGTGTCTTTTGCTTATAGTGAAATTCTTAGGCACTGAATTAACTCTAGATTTCAGCTATATTTCAGAGTAGATCTGTTTGTTTAACAATGGTAAGCCAATCCTTTTTGAAAGCTTTTTTTTTTTTGAGAAGGTGGTGGGGAGGTAGGGGCAGTATGAGACTGGTTGTATCCTACCATCATAATGATTCCATCTGGATTTATTTGCCTGTGTTCTCACATCCCACTGACCTCTCCCAGGTAGAACAGTGCACTGGACTTCAAGGATTTTTGATTTTCCGAAGCTTTGGAGGAGGCACTGGGTCAGGATTTACATCTCTCTTAATGGAGCGACTCTCGATAGAATATAACAGGAAGACTAAATTGGAGTTCTCAGTCTACCCAGCCCCCCGGATCTCCACTGCTATAGTTGAGCCTTACAACTCCATCCTCACCACGCATTCTACCATCGAGCACTCAGACTGCTCCTTCATAGTGGACAATGAGGCCATCTATGACATCTGCCAGCGTAAGCTTGGTGTGGAATGCCCTTCTTATGCCAATATTAATAGGCTCATCAGTCAGGTGGTATCTTCCATTACTGCTTCCCTGCGGTTTAAAGGATCCTTGAATGTGGACCTAATTGAATTCCAGACCAACCTAGTACCTTACCCAAGAATACATTTCCCCATGACAACCTATGCGCCCATCAGCTCTGCTGAGAAAGTGTACCACGAGCAGTTCTCTGTGCCAGATATCACTGCTGCTTGCTTTGAGTCCTCCAACCAGCTGGTCAAATGTGACCCTCAGCTTGGTAAGTACATGGCCTGCTGCCTGTTGTACCGGGGAGATGTGGTTCCAAAGGATGTAAATGCTGCCATTGCAGCCCTGAAGTCAAGGAACTCTATCCAGTTTGTAGATTGGTGTCCAACTGGCTTCAAGGTGGGCATCAGCCATCAGCCTCCCACTGTGGTACCAGGAGGGGACCTGGCCAGGGTCCAGCAGGCTGTCTGTATGCTGAGCAACACCACGGCAATTGCAGAGGCCTGGGCCCGCCTGGACCACAAATTTGATCTCATGTATGCAAAGCGGGCCTTTGTGCATTGGTACATTAAAGAAGGTATGGATGAAGGGGAATTCATAGAGGCCAGGGAAGATTTGGCAGCCCTGGAGAAGGACTATGAGGAAGTCGGGCAAAGTTTTTGATGGAAGTATGAATAAAAGAAATGCATTGGAATTTAAAATGTGCTTTCTTTAGGATCTGTTATACATGAAATAAAGTTCCTTGTATTTAACAAGGGGGGGGAAACATTCAGGCAAGACCCTTATTTCCACACAAAGTTAAATTGGTCAACATGAATAATATCTTTCATTGTCAGGCTAATTCAACCTGTGCCTTTTAAGAGTTGTGTTAGGCAGGGTTCTCTAGAGAAGCAAAACCAGGACACTTATTAATATATACATATTCATATATATTTATGAATATATATTCATATATATTTATGCGGCAAGAAGACATGTAATTGCTAATTAGTCCACACAGCAGCACAGAGGTTTCAGTTCAACTCACTTTCATAGAACAGGTAATATACTGGAAGTCCTTCAACTCACTTGAGCTGAGTCACTTGAGTCCAAGGTCAAGGAAAAAGATAGTGAAGTCCTCCCTCGGGCAAGGCGAGCAGAGTTTGCCCACAGGCAGCCAACATCAGGGTGGGTCAGCAGCAGTTAGCTCAGGAGCTTAGTGAAGCAGATCCAGATGAGATATCACACTAAACAATGAAAGGTAACAAGATCCACCAGTCTCAAGCTCAAGTGATATACACACCAGCAGCATGGGGCAAAGCAGTTCTCAAAGTAGTCTCAAGCTCTAGTGACACACAATCCATTGGTTGGCTTGGCCTACAGGTAAGGTAGCACACAGGTTGAGGCAGAGAACTAGCTAAAGCAGCAGAATGCTGGTCCAATTACCAGAGAGCATGAGGGATGGGGGGCAGGCCTTGCAGAGCCATTTATCTCTCTGCCCTTCAAACAAACTGTGCTCTGATTAATCCTACATGTTCCTATTGACCAGGTGGGCACAATAAACCCTACTATCTCAGTCCACTCCTTGACAACTTGGCACCTGCACTTAATTCGTTACCATATATAACTTCCAGATATTAATGAAATCATACTCATACCTAACATCATATGTGTATCATACACATAAATGAAAACACACTGAATGTATTTGTATCTGGTATATTATACACGAGGAAAGATATTTATAAAGTACACATAAAGAAGAAATAGTGACAATTACAAGTTTTGCTCTTCAATTGATCACATGGCCGTAATTGATAGGTAGAACCCAATCCTGACCAGATGTCTAATGACCCAGAGCCCTCAGGAATGAAGGTCTGGGTCATCCCACCAGGCAAAGAACCATGGCCAGCCAACGTGTTCATGGAGGACAAAGGTAATACAGAATGGATAGTAGAAGAAGGTTCCATTTCTTTCCAATTAATGCCCTTACTTTAATATCAGACACTGTTACAGATGTATAATTCAGCTGAGGCTGTAAATTCATCTACTTGTAGGATGAGACTCTGGATTTGATTTTCAGCAATGTCAGTTCTGTTACTAAGGGAGAGAAAGCTCTCCTTTGTAGCGCATGCAGAAGCTTTTAGGTGTTTTATTTGGCACTTGAGATGGGCTTTTGAGGTTTTGAGATCATCCCTTCCTTGATGACATTTTCTATTATAAGGACTAGCCAACCAACGTCCCTGTACTTATGATCCCTATGAAATTGCTGAAAAAGATCAAACACACGATCACCCAGGGCCTCTTATCTTACCTGGTGAGGTAGCTAGTTTATTGTGCCAACCTGGCTGATAAACACATGTGGGGTTAATTGAAGGGCGGAGGGATAAATGGCTCAGTGACCCTCACCTCTTGAGTTCACTGGTCTCTTGCTTTGTTATGATCGGACCAGGGTGCAGTTGCCTTAGCCAGTTCCCTGCTTTAGCTGGCAAGGCTCACTTCCTGCAAGACATCCCTAAGGAGAAGCCACATGGACCTACTCCTAATGCAGCCCTGGGTGCTGGAGCAGCCATATGGAGACCCCTTCCAGCGCTGAGATGATTACCCTTTCACTGACTTGGCTTTCCTCCTGCAGTCAGCATCATTGCATGTGTTTTGTGAGATGGAGGAGGACTTTGTGGATTGGTGTCAGACAAATGGACTAATGTTGGACTTGTGGGCTTGGGCAGCACTGGGTTGGGATGTTTTATTGATGTACACTTAACCTTGATATAAAACTCTCTCTTAAAAATATGAGTTTCTGTGGATTTGTTTCTCTAATATACCCAGACTAACACAGGGGTAGAGGAGGGTGAAGGGATTTGGGGAGCAAACAATGAATATATCAGGCAAATGGCAACTTTAAAAAAGCAGGGGTTGCAATTCTGCTCTCCAATAAAATTGACCTCAAGGTGTAAACCATAACAAGAGACAAAGATGGGCACTATATAATGCTCAAATAAGAGACTTGTGAAATTCTCCAAACAAACTAATCAAAAGATTGAAAAAGAAATCAAAGACTCAATAATCATAGTAGGTGACTTTAATACACTGCTATCAGATAATGATAGATCACTGGGAAAGAATCTCAGTAAGGAGGCTGCAGAGCTAAACACTACAATTAGGCGACTGAACATGATAGATATGTTTCATTTATTCACAGACAAATATAGACTGAGATATGAAACTCTCCATCCAAATGCACATTCTTTTCAAGTTCACATGGCTCATTTTCGAAAATAGATCCCATGCTGGGACACAAGTTGAGCCTGAGTAAATTCAAACACATAGAGATCACTCAGACATCCCTCTCAGACCACCCCACCACGAAGTTGGAGATCAACAAAAAGATGACCAGAAAAACAAGGACAAACTGGAGGATGAATAATGTTCTGCGACACAAATAGGTACTGACACAGATTAGAGAAGAAATTAGGAAGTTTCTAGAAACTAATGAGAATGAGAATACAACACACCCAAACCTATAGGATACAACAAAAGCAGTTATCAGAGGAAGTTTGGTAGCAATTAATGAATATACAAAAAAGGAAGAGAAGCTTATGACTGATATGCTATCACAAAATCTACAACAAGTAGAACAGAGTCAACAGAACAACCCTTCCAATAGCAAATGAAAAGAAATAATAGAAATCAGGGTAGAGTAAAATGAGTGGGGAGACAAGAACAATGCAAAAAAAATCCATGCACCAGAAAGCCAGTTCTTTGAAAGGATCCACTGAGTCAACAGACCTTTGGAAAACCTAACTAAGCTAAGAAAGGAGCAAACATCAATAGTCAGGATGAGGGATGAACCTGGGAAAATCATAACATACCCCAACGTGATTAAAAGGATAATCACAAAGTATTATGAAAGTTTGTATTCTAATGAATTCAACAACGTGGAAGACGTGGACAAATACCTGGAAAAACAATCCCTCCCTAGATTATCCCAGATAGAGGTCAAGAACCTCAACAAAAGAAAGAGATATGGTTATCAAGAAACTACCAATGAAAAAACCTCCCAGGAGAATTCTAACTGTGAAACATTCAGGGAAGAGCTGACACCAATCCTCCCCAAATTATTCCAGAGCATAGAAAAAGATAGCAAACTCCAAAACTCATTCTACGAAGCTAGTATAATTTAGATGCCCAAATAGAGCAAGGATCCCACAGGAATACTGAACTACAGACCAATACCTCAAATGAACATAGATGCAAAAATCTTAGCAAAATTTTGGGCAATAGAATATAAAAGTATATAAAACATATCATCCATCATGATCAGGTGGGATTCATTCCAGGGATACAGGATAGTTTAACATCTGAAAGTCCATCAATATTATTCACCACATTGATAAGAAAAAGGATAAGAATCACATGATATCGTTAGATGCAGAAAAAGCATTTGACAACATCCAACACCCATTCCCCATTAAGACGCTCAAGAAGATAGGGATGGAAGGGGAGCTCCTCAAGTGAATACAAGCTGTGTATGAAAAGCCAATAGCCAGCATCATAATCAATGGAGAAAAGACTAAAACAATCCCACTGAAAAAGGGGACCAGATAAGGATGCCCTTGTCCCCAGTTATTTTCAACATTCTAGCTAACAACATAAAGAAGAAGAAAGACATTAAGGTATCTGTCTGGGAGAGGAGGAGGTGAAACTATGGCTATTTTCAGACACAGGATTCTATACATTGAAAACCTCAAAAGCTCCACAACAGGAGTACTGACAGTGATAGAGGAATACGGAAGAGTGGCAGGATACAAGATCAACAAACAGAAATTTATTGATTTTCTATATACATTGGACAAGACCATGGAAGAGGAGATCAAGAAGACAGTACTGTTCACAATAGCCAAGAACAAACTGAAATATCTAGGGATATATCTAACCAAAAAACCCAAAGACATATACAAGGAAAACTACAGAACCCCACTACAAGAAACCAAAATCAACCCCCACAAATGGAAAAAGATTCCCATTCTCATGGATCAGAAGACTCAATATAGTAAAGAGGTCAATCTTACCCAAGGCATTATATAAGTTTAATGCTATCCCAATTCAAATACCAACAGCCTTCTTCAAGGAATTGAAAAAACTGATCCACAATTTCATATGGAGAAGGAAGAAGCCCAGAATTAGCAGAGAACTCCTCAAGAAGAACGACAAAGTTGAAGAGCTCGCCATAACTGACCTTAACACTTACTATACAGCCACAGTGATCAAAACAGTCTGGTACTGGAATAATGGCAGATAGTTAGACCAATGGAAAAGATCAGAAAACCCAGAAATAAAACCATCAGCATACAGATAACTGATCTTCAACAGGGGCCCCAAAGCATCAAAGGGAGGTGGAAGCCCTCTTTAACAAGTTGTGCTGAAAACAATGGATATCCACCTGCAGAAAAATGAAACAAGACCCTTACTTCGTTCCATGCACAAGAACAAACTAAAGGTGGATGACAGACCTAGAAGTAAAACCCCAAACTATCAGGACTATCAAGGAAAGAATCAGGACAACTCTAAGAACCTTGGTCCAGGGAATACACAGGCTAACTGCAATATGGAAGGGTATACACACACACACACACACACACACACAGAGAGATGAGACTGAAATCAACAAATGGGATATACTA